AGGGACCCGTTCCCTCGACCCTTCACAGCACTCAGTTCGCCGTAACGCCAAAGCGGGAAGAAGAGACGGTAACCGCCACGCCGTGTGCTGGCAAACTCTTTTTCCCCTGGAGCCGTTCGTGGTGAGGATTAAACATTTTTAAATACACAAATTATATGGCACAATCCAAGCTGTTCTCCAAAATTGGATCATTCCCTTTTGCTTGTGTTTACGCTCAAGGTGCCGATTCACTGGAGAGAGGCAGAGCAGCAGCTGGCGTAGTGGGAAGCCGGTCGGTCTTCCGGGGAGGCTCTGGCTCCGGCTCCGGCTCGGCCCCTCCCTAGCTAGTTCCTAGGGCCCAGGTCTGGAACTTCACTGTCTCCCACTGCAGAATGGGACGGCACCTACTTGGGAGGGAGTTAAGTGCTGGAAATAAGATGCCACGGCCTGGCTGGTGTGGCTCAGTGGATTGAGTACTGGCCAGCAAATCAAAGGGTCACCGGTTCGATTCCCAGCCTAGGGCACGTGCCTGGGTTGCGGGCCAGGTCCCCGGTGTGGGGCGCATGAGAGGCAACCACACATTGATGTTTCTCTCCCTCTTCCTCCCTCCCTCCCCCTCTCTTAAAAAAAAAAAATGATACTTGCGGACCTAGTGCATCAGACAGCACGTGCTCCCTGAGAACTAAGACCCTGTGCCTGTCACACAGCAGGGCCCCTTTATTTAAATACCATCCAGTTAGACCTGAAGGGCAGCAGGCAGCCCAGGGCCAGGGGACACCCTCAGCTGCCATCAGCATCTGCATGACGTCCGGGGACCACAGCGAGCGAGCCATGTGGGCTGTGAAGCCACTGGAGTTACTGCAACACCAGGACAGAAACAACTACTCCGTGTCAGCGTCACCCGGCAGCACGGTCACCCGGCAGCGGAGCCACCCAGTCACCCCGAGAGAGCATGGACCTCGCTTTGTTTGGGTTTTTGTTTTGTTTGTTTTGTTTTTAAATGTCTTTTTCTCTTCCCCCAAAATCATGAAATCCCTTCGGGGCGTCAATGCTAGTTGGGAGGGAAACACGTGGACTGGAATGCAGGTTTAAAGCCCGCAGCATTTCCCAGCACAAGGGGAAGAACGACATCGAATACGCCACGCCCACCCAAAGAGGCCCCACGTTTCACACGAAGCTGGGAGGGCGTCCAAAGCGGGCAGAGGAGCAGACCTATCATCCTTCTCGGTTACTCCCGGCCCTCTGACTATATAGCATTGGCGACGACCGAGAGGGATCCGAGTTTTCGTGTTTTAGGGGGACCACTCAGGATGCTTGCTGACGGGCTCCTTCCCTTCCGCCCCCTCCGACCACCTGCTCGTCCAGGAAGAAGTGAGGCTCACTCACGCCACTTTACAAGCAGCCACGTCCTCCTCCTCCGGGACAGAAAATGAAACCGATGTCCTCCCTACGTGTGCGTGACATGCGCACCTGCTACAGCTCTCAAAGCCAAAAACCCAAAGGGTGCTGTGAAGCACAAAACAATAGCCTTCTCTCTCCCTAGCCAAAGAGTCCGACTCTTAGCATCGACAGAGACCCCTGCCGTCCTCTGACCCCGGGGGCAGTCACCCTTACCTGAAGGGCAGAAGGCTCATCCATGGGAAACCCTCACCCGGGAGGAAGCCAGAGGTGGGCCTGTCCAGGGAGAAGTGGGGGCCACTCACTGTCCCTGCAGGGACCCCTAGGCCTCATCTTCAGAAACTTGGGGCTGGGGGACTGAACAGCCCAGGCTTCCTATCACAGACGAATAAGGACATTTATCCAAAAATTGGCAGGGAGCTCCTGCAACAGTCCCCTGGATGAGTGGGCAAGGCCTGGTCCAACAGAGCGACTATATGACCCATCAGAGGCCAAAAAGACATCCGAGGAAATCAGCTATACGTCACTTTTCTGATGAAAGGGGTGAAGTGAGAGGCGACCTGATGGTGGTTTCCCCTTTCTCCTTTTTTCCTACTGGGCCTGTGAGAGCATGATGTCCGGTGCCACAGCAGCCACCTTGAGACTATGAAGAATGAGCAAAAGACGAAAGGCTAACATACTGACTTCCTATGGAGCAGAAGAAGGGAAAAGACCTTATGTCCTTAATGATATCTTGAGCTACTTAATGAATCTGAGGCCTGACTCGGACTTCTGGTTAAGTAAAGAATCAACGTAAATGTCCTCAGAGTAAAGACCTTGTTGGTCTTCTTTCGTGATACCCTACTAAACAAAAAACACTTGTCTAGGGATTTCAGAATCGGTGCATATTTTTGCACACATTATCTCTCAGCTGTGTTCTTCAAGTCACAGGGAAAGGCAAAAAGCAAGGAGGAACAGTTCGGCCACCTTGGGAGACAACGTGCCACTTTCTTGTAAAGCGCAACATCCAGCAGTACCATACGGTCCAGCAATTGTGCCAGAGCCACCCAGGCTTGAAGTAACCGGGATGAGTCTTTAACTTAGGTGCACATTTCTAAGTGGCGGAAGCCAGTCTGAAAAGGCGACAGGCCATTTGATTCCAACTATACAACATTCTGGAAAAGGCAAAACCATAAAACCAGGAAAAAGATAGGAAGACGAGTGGTCGCCAGGGCTTTGGTGGCTGAAGGTGACAAGCAGGGGCAGCCGAGGGGAGGGACTTTTAGGGCAGCAAAGCTATTCTGTGTGATACTTATAGTGGTGGATGTCTGACAATGTTCACGCGTCAAAACCCTCTACAACACAAAGAGTGAACCTTAACATAAACTGTGGACATCAACGAATACCTCAACATAAACTGTGGACATCAATGAGTAATAATGTATCAGTATCAGTTCATTCATTCGTTCAAGCGCACCACACACTAATGCAAGATGATGACAATAGGGAAAACTGCAGAAGCCGTCCTAAAAGGTAAAATCTATTAGTAGAGAAAAATAAGAAAAAGGAAAGAGGGGATGAGGCAGGGAAAGAATCCCTATAATGGTAATGGTTTTCTTCTCAAGTCAGTCCAGAAACTACCCCAATGGGATGAGTTCAAGGGGAGGTTTGAAGCTGTCCCTTCCAAAAACCACCCCGCCCTGCTCCCACCAAGCGCGGCCTCTGCACTTGACCTCCACTCCACCCCACATGCGGCAGGCCTCTCCTGTGCTCGCCATGTGCTCTCCAGCTGGGGGACCACGATTCCCACGGGAGCTCCCGGCTCCTGGCTCCTCCTTGCCCTCTTACCGCCACTCCCTCCGCTTTCTAGGGTGTCCCTAGGACTCACGGGTTATTCCCGCCTCTGGTAACGACATCTCTGGGAAACGAAGTATCCTACAGATGCTTGTCCACCTGAATGGAAGTAACCACCCAGCAAATAATAACCCCCCTGGCATTCGGGTGGCTCCCTTCTGTGAGGGTTCTCTTGTATCCCAGACACAGTTCAGCCACCTCCCCGCCCCCCACCGTGTGCAGGGCGCAGAAGGGGAGCCAGTGCACAGGTGCCACTTCGCTGCGGAAATGTAGCAACGCTTCTGACTTCAGCAGGAACAGGAGGAGGTACCACGCTCCAGCCCCCAAAGCTTCCTGGGTATTTTTCCCCACAGTTTTCTTTGGGATCTGGAAGGTTGACTTAAAAATATTCATCTAAATAGACTGAGGTTGTAGCCGGGTAACTGTTATTTGATGGGGGTAGGGGGAAGATAATCTAGTTTAAAAATCAGCCATTGCTTGGCTCAAATCTCTTCTTTTTTTTTTCCTTTTTTATTTTTTCTGAATAAATGCAAACGGGCACATGATCAGGAGTCCTCACTGAAAGTGTGGACTTTGTGAAATTGGCTGGAAAAAGGCATTCACTGAGCAAACATTCCCTGGAGAGAAGTCACTGGGGCCAGACCAATGAAGCCTTGGTAATGGGGGCCCCCAGCTGGGGGACTGAGATGCCTGTGTTAAAAGGTATAATTTGGGGGGATAATGGGATTCCATCTGAACGAATCATTCCCACAAGTAGGGCAGGGGTGTTTTTAAAACATGCAGACCAAACAGCAAGGATGAGTAACAAGGAATAGGCCCCCCAGAACGGTCCGGCGTTCTCACTACTCCCAACCTTTGCACGTGCTTCTCCCTCGTCTGGAGAGACCTCCCCGCCCCACCCTGCCCCACCCCCTGCCCCAGCCTCATCCCACTTCCCTGCATCATTCAGAATGCGGCCAGAATGTTCCTGCTTTGGAGAAACTTGCGGATTCCCCAAAGTGACTGTTCAGTTCTTCCTCCCGGCCCCACGGGGCCTGGCGCCTCCCCTTCTGCAATAACGGGCTTGCACGCCTTGGCCTCCCCTGCTCCCCCGAGGCCCGGCCTCCCTCTTCCCCTCCCTGCGGCTCCAGCGCAAGGCGGCACGTCACCCGCGGATGCCGACTCAAAACACGCATCACAAAGGAAATGGACCCGCAAATGGACTTTGTGGCATCTGGCGTGTGGCAGCTTTTAAAAGCCTATAAACAGAGTCTCTTTCGGCAAGAAATATTTTTTTTCAGCTGGACAAAATATGAACGTGCACTGTGGGCATCATTTGGCATAAAAATAAGCTCGCCGTGTTTGACTGTGGAAAGCTTGCTTGTCTGCCCTTACTCCTCCACATCAAAAAGTCAAACGAAAACATGTCCACGTTGCTCTGACTGACACCAGTATCTGCGAAGACCGGACTTGCCCAGAATTGCAAATGCTACCCTCGGAGGCAATGGGCTCCTTCCTCTCATGTCTTCAGCACGCGTACGGCAGCTAAACCCGAGTGTGCACAGAGCACTGAAAGCACGCTTGGCATGCTTACGGGGACTCAGGATGCTGAGCTCGTTAGTGGGAATGCCGCTGTCAGGGAGACAGTCTTGTTAGTGTGGAGGCGGTGGCCGTGCCCACTGGCTGGACCTCATCCAGTCGAGGAGACCGCGTGGCCTCAGGGACCCTGCACAGGGCTGCTCTGCCCCAGTGGGTCACCTCTGCTGCTCCTAACAGCGGGCCTCCCGGAGGCTGGCCTCGAGAGCACTCACCTCAGAAGCCGGGGTCAAAATTCACTGGGGAACCCGTCCTAACGGGGACGACGTCCACACTTCCCTTATCAGCAAGTCCGAGGTTCACTGCGGCCACAGACAGAAGCAGAAAATCAGGAGAGAGAAAAAACCTGGCCTTCAGGGGACTTTTAAGCCACTTCTAGGACTTTGCCTTTCGTGCATTACATCTGAGGGTCCCTTCTGTCATCCGGGCAACCCCTTGAGGGTCCTCAGCCATCCAGGCCCTGTGCCAGCTATGGTCAGTTCGGTACACAGCCCTCCTCCTGGGGTGGTTGGTGCGGGGTTGGGAACACAAGGCAGAAATCTGTGCTATCAGAGTCTTTTCTTTTTTTCTCTGTTTATCCATTCCCCACCCTCACCGCAGACGTGAAAGGCTTCCACTTGATTTCCCCCTGAATTCCACATGACCCACCAATGAGACGGAAAATATTCTTAGTAGACAAAAGAAAAAAGTAATCAAGAAGTTTAAAAAAGATTTTAGTCTTTTTTTCATCTTTAAAATATACATATTGACTAGAAGGCCCCCAAGGTCCGTCCGGGTTTACAGCTGGATGACGCGAGGGTCATCAGGAAAATGCACACTAGAGCAGCAGTGAGATGCTGCGTTCACCCCTCAGCCGGGCAAAGATGACAATCCCACAATATCAGCACCAGGACGAGCATGAAACAGGATGATGCGCGCTGCCGACTGCAGCGCCAACTCACGTGGCCTGTTTGGAGAACAAACTGGTAAAGTTGAATACATCTGTGGGGCGTCATTCAGTGTCTAAGATAATCACATACGTGTTTATGTTCAGGGTGACATGGATAAGAACAGTCATGGAGGAATAATTTTTTATGACAAAATTGGAAACACACATGTCCATAAGTAAATCTAGAAAACGTGACACTGGCCAAAGGTGACCCAACACACAGCAGTTAAAAGGACTGACTGTCTTTCCGTACACGGCTGAATCTCCAGAACGTGATATGATCGGCGTGTGTGTGTGTGTGTGTGTGTGTGTGTATAAAATGCACGTACATGTAAAATCGGTGGTTCTCAAACCAAGGGGACTCCCCTCCCCTGCTCCTTATTTGGCAATGTCTGGAGACTTTTTTAATAATTATTTTATTGTTGTTCAATTACAGTTGTCTGCATTTGCCCCCACCATCTCCCCCACCCCAGCCAAACCCACCTCCCTCCCTCGCTTCCACCCTCCCCCTTGGTTTTGTCCCTGTGTCCTTTATAGTAGTTCCTGAAAGCCCTTCTCCCGCACTGTCCCCTCCCCCATCCCCTCTGGAGACCTTTTTTGACATAATCTTGGCCGTGGGAGCCACTGAAAGGTAGTGAGCATTCATTCACAGATATGCAGCTGACATCCTGCAATGCAGAGAATAGCCCCCAACCAAAAAACACAAAACAGTTATCTGGCCTCAAATGTCAATAGCACTGAGGTTGACCAACCCTGCTCCAGAATCACGGAACAGAGTTGTTTTTACATTTTAATTACTGAACTATGTGTCCTGGCACAAATTCAACCTTCCAGGCGTGCATAAAAACCTCTTCAGTGACTGCTGGCTAGAGTTCGGGTGCTGCAAATTGGTCTTTACCCTGAAAAGTTATTTGTAAATTAAGTTTTGGTAAACTGAATCAAGTTTTAAATGAACTAAAGTAGGGACTTGTTAATGGACCTCCTGTGAAGGTTTTTATCACATGATAACTCCAGCCTGAGTTTTCTGCCGCCCGAAGGCCCGGGGACACTATTTCGGGGCCCACTGGCACGGCACAGGCACCGAAGGTGAGCCTGCCCCCACTGCCGGACGTGTCCTCGCTTTGTTTCAGCTCACGCGACGGCATCTTCCCGTTGCCCATTCAAAACCTTGTGGCGCATTCTGCAAACATCTTCACACCTAACTTCCAAGAAAAAAAGGCTCTTGTTCTAAAAGACCCATGAAGATATGTGAGCTCATCCCAACTAACCCAAGACTAGATCCATTAGTACGAAACGTCAAAAGAAATATGAATCAGTCACTCAATCACCCTCCCGCTGTACTGATGCAGAGACAAAACTGGATCGATTAAGTCCGGGCAGAGGGGACTTCAGGTCGTGACCTCACTTTGTACGAATGCTGACGTCTAGGAGCTATCTTCTCAATGAGTGACAATCATGACGAGAGCTATCGTTAGTGAGGCAGTAGTTTTGTGCTGGTTTATACACATCCTTTCACTGAACCCTCTCGGCCACTTCACACGGCAAGTGTCCTGGTTACTTACTGCTGGGTAACGAACCATCTCAAAGCTCAGCGGGTTCAAACATGAACCGTCATGGATTTGGCTCACGGAACGACAATTCGGCAGGGCTGCGCGGGCCTGGTTGCTCTGGGCTCCAGAGTCAGCCAGGGCAGCTCCCCCTGGGCTTGCTACCAGGTCCTCGCTGAGGATGCCTTAGCCATGTGGCTGGCAGCGGGGGTCTCAGCCAGGCCCACGGGCCGGGGGCCGGGATCCTTCCCACTCAGGCAACTTCTGCACGAGGAGCTGGGGCTCCCTCACAGCACAGCGGCTGGGTGCAAGCACCACACCACAGAGCAAGATGAAGTGCATGCACAGAATGTTTCACGATCTGACTGTGCAAGATACACAGCACCACTCCTGCCATGCTTTGTAGGTCAAGGTGGTCCCAACATTCCACTCAAGGTCAAAGAGAAGAGACATAAACCTGACCACGAGAGGAATGCCCCAGTGACACTGTGTAAGGAACAAGTGGGATAAAAGATACTGGTTTAGCCATCTTAAGAAAATACCATTTTGGTGGCGAAGCTGAATTTCGGACAGTGAATTAACGCCCCTCCGCCCCAAAGTCACACAGCCACCAAGTCCTGGAACAAGACCCGCACCCAGACACATCTGACTTCCCAGGGCAGAGCCCGCAACCACACTGCACCGCTCTGCTTCCCGCAGCCTCTGCAATTCCCGGTCCGATGCCTGCAGCTCCAAAGGGCTTATTTCATGCCGTTGACATGGAAGGAAACCTGAACTTCACAACTACAGCAGTTCAGTGGCTGACCCAAAGGCAGCTCTCTAAACTTCTGCTGAATGAGATGTGTGTTTCTTGCCTGTAGTAATCTATAAACTCCCTGAAAGAAAGGATGGACTTTAGTAAAGTCTGGTTATCTACATAAAAGTTGATGCGGTTCCTTGTACACAGTAGGAGTTCGATAAGTGCTTGTTGGAAACGTACCTACTTGTTTACCTGTCCATCTCCACGGCTCTCCACCAGACCATGAACAACTAAAAGGCAGGGAGAGCGGACCACATGCCTGATTCGGTCACCTCCATGCCCGGTGCCCACCCCAACACACACACAGCCGTGCATGGTGGGCCCTCAGTAAATGTTAGCATGAATGAATGAATGAATGAATGGCACACAGGAATGAAAACAGAGTAAACAATACTCCAGGTTTATAATAATCAATCACTTTTTTCATCCCCACAAGAGAAAACGAAGACAGTTAGAGAACTGAGACTTCATCCCTGGGCCTGCTGGCCTAGCCACAGACCAAGGCCACCTGACACATTTTGGTAGAGAAATAAAAAGCGGTGGGTTGCACGTTGGGAGAGAACCAGATAAGCTGCAAAGGAGGAGAACAGGAGCGAAAAGATTCCTAGCTGAAGGAAAGGAAGATGCTATGGAGAAGCCACCTACTCCGACACGGCTTGGCCCCTCCCTACTTGGACATTGGGGTCGGTGCAGAATGGGTGTGGGGAGGAGGAAGGGACTTGGTGTCTACGGATGCCACTCCACGCCAGGCACCCTGGCACCCAGAGCTGGGGCTCGCTCTCCCACGCCCCCATTTTCATCATAAAACCTGAAGCAGCTGGAACAGGAAGCAGAAACAAGAAGTAGCTAGGCATTCTACTGGCTCCTAGAAAACCTTTTGAAGAAATAATTATGGAGATGTAGTGACTCATTCTGAGATCTTACCAATAATCTAAATGGGAACCCCCACAGGTATTAAAAGGCACTGCTGACGGATGAATTCAAAGAACGATAATCTCCTTCCATACGCACATCTTTGTGAAAGCAAGTCTCCTTTCTTTCATTCACCGGGCAGCCCTGGGTTCCTTCCAGGCTTCCCCACCCACAGCGCCACCTCCTCCTTTCAGACGGCACCCCCGCAGCCAGCTGCGTCCGCTCTCCCTTCCAGGAACCAGTGGGCAGAGAGGACTGCAGCAGTACAAGTGGGAAGCGACACCGGAGGGAAATTAGTATCTCCATGCTTTCCACCCTCCACATTCTTTCAATAAAACTTAATTGTGCTGGCTCTTGCCTTTTCAGCGTGCTCGAGAGGAGTGGTGTGCTTGGCTTTTCCCATTTCTCTATTGTCTGAAAGGGTCTCTTTTCACGCACACAGTATTTCTGTGGGGGGAGAGACCTTGGCAGCTTACTGTTATGTTGAGAAAACTCACATGCGTATGACAAATAAGCTTCTTTTCCCTTCTCTGGCTCATAAAAATTGCCGCCCCCCCCCCACCCCCGGTTTGTCTGGTAATTATCGAAAAGACTCAGGCGAAAAGCGCGCCGGGTCTCCGTTTCTCAGAACTGTGCCGCCAGCCCAGCAGTGAGACAGTGCTGGTCACAGAGAATGGAGGCTCACGTCTGTCACTGCCGTGGCCGTGACTTCACGCTTCAGCACCAAGTGGAGCGCATCTACCTAACGTGTGCTCCACAGGGCACACTTCCGTGCAAATTCCGGTTCCTCCTCACTCTCAGTCCACGCCTCCACCCACAAAGCGGTTCAAGTGAAGCAACACTAACAAACCATCATTCTGTGCAGCGGCTCGACTGAGTGTTTAAGACACAGAAATGAACTCTGATGATTAGAATACCTTTTACAAAGCAATTCTAAATCCCTGGATAGGAGCGAGTCCTTCAAAAGAACAAACCGAATTCCTAAAGAACATCCAAGGGGAACTGGACACAGAGCTCTGTCCCCAGTTGTGCAGGGGCTGTCCCAGGAGCTGTGGGAGGTGGGGCTGGGCCCCCACCACCTGCCCTCACCTGAGCTACCTCTACTTTAATATCTTC